TGCCATCATGTGGAGGAGAGAGAGAAGTGCCAGGGAGAACAATTACACATACATGCATGCAGCTATTAGATGTCATAAATTAAATTAGTATATAAAAGTTTTTGTTTTTGTGGTGGATTTGAAATGTTTTGCATTAAAACATAGCATTTGTAGTGTTTCCGTGGTAGTAAAAATATTTTAGATAATACTTCTTTATATATATATATATATATGTATATATATATATATATATTTATATGTAGATTTTTGTTTAACATTATATTAACTATCCATAGACTTCAGGTGGAAGGGGTGAATGGGTTTTTAATCACAATTTTTCCCACCATACCTTTTTTGGTATATATACTTCACCTGAAGTCTGTGGATAGTTAATACAATGTTAAACAAAAATCTGCACACCAGTCAAGCCCTAAGACTTGTTTTTCCCACAGGAATCGCAAATTTGCAGTGATGTTTGTGGCAGAACCAACCTCGCCACTGGCCACTGGAGGAGCCTGGTCTCCCGCCTCCTGCCACTGGACTATGGCCCCATGTTTAACAATGTTCTTTTTCCCTGCAGAAAGGCTTGTTCGTGCCTTTCTGCAGACTGTTAAAGCCATGCTACCCCAGATAGCTATGCCATGGATCCCAGCCGTATACTGAAAGACTGTATGAAAGTCTTTGGCTCCATGGCGATTGAACTGTATGTATGTGATCTGAGCGCCATCCGGTAATAATGTGCGCTCAGATCTAAGCTATATGGGGATAGGTAGAATGTTTATGTTCTATGTGATAAATGTAACAGTATTTTTATGTCTTTTATTGTCCTTGGTCTGCCATGTGGTTAATGGAGTTTTGCCTCTGTCCTTGGAGATAATTGGATTACTTCCCAATTATCTCCAGGACAGAGAGGAGGGATTGTGATGCATTGTGGGATTGTAAGCTTGTGATTGGTCAATGTCCAATATCTTTCCCAGTTTTCCATTTGGTCCCCTAGGGGCGTGTCCACCAGGTGGGAGACCTGCATAAAAGCCAGGCAGGTAGCCTCAGTAAATCAGTTCTGCTTGACCCTCAAACGAAGTGTCGTCTTGTTCTTGGGGGGAATTGGATTGTATGCTGTTACAGTGCGACTGCCAGGAGTGTAAACTGTTCGTATGGTTTTTCCTATTCGGCTGTTTACAGCATTCGTGTGTTTCCTGTTCGGGAGATTGGAGCATTCCCCTGGTTCCAGTTCGGGAGATTGGTGAATTCATGTGTTTGCAGTTTGGGAGATTGGTGAATTCATGTGTTTGCAGTTCGGGAGTTTGAGTAATAATGTGTTTGCAATTCGGGAGATTGGTGATTGCAGTAGCTGCCTCTACATCTGAAAAGGGGAATATCGCCTAAACGGTTTTTAACCTCTTGTGTGCAAAACAGGCCGTTACAATGTTACTACCGGAAAGGATTCTGGGTGGGCATATGCAAATTAGTTCAACAAAGAACCACATTTTTGCTTCATTCCATTTTAAACATGGATTTTGCTTCACAAGCACTGCCAAGCCTCACTAGCAAGCCAGTCACCAACCTCATGCTGATGATTTGCATTAACAATGAAACAACTGTCCATGAGTGGTTCACTTGCTTTGCATCTTTTCCTTTTCAAAGCTGTTGTATACAGCAAACATAGACTCAAAGGAATCCGTGTTTAAAATGGAATGAGCCAAAAATGTTATTCTTTGTTAAACTAATTTGCATATGCCCACCCAGAATGCACTGCAAATTTGTCATTTCTATGGGAAAAGCACGTCTTATGGCTGGACTGGTGTGCAGATTTTTGTTCAACATTGTATTAACTATCCACAAACCTCAGGTGGAAGGGGTTTTCAATCACAAATTTTCCCCACCATACCTTTTTGGTTTTTGCTTCACAAGTACTGCCAAGCCTCACTAGCAAGCCAGTAACCAACCTCATGCTGAGGATTTGCATTAACAATGAAACAGCTGTCCATGAATGGGTCACTGGCTTTGCATCATTTCCTAAGTTGTGTTTCAAAGCTGTGGTATACAGCAAACACAGACTCAAAGGAATCCATGTTTAAAATAGAATGAGGCAAAAATGGGATTCTTGAACTAATTTGCATATGCCCACTCAGAATCCTTTGCGGTAGTAACATCATTACAAATTTGCTATTCATGTCTGAAAAGCAAGTCTTATGTGCACAGATTTTTTTTGAAAGGACCACTAAAGTGCCAGGAAAACATACTCATTTTCCTGGCACTATAGTGCCCTGAGGATGCCCCCACCCTCAGGGTTCCACTCCTGTGGCACTGAAGGGGGGGGAAGGGGTTAATCCCTTACCTTTTTTCCAGCGCCGGGCTCCCTCAGCGCTGGGACTCTCCTCCCTCTTCTGATGTCCCTGGCTGAATACGCATACGCGGCAAGAGCCGTGCGTGCATTCAGCCAGTCCATAGGAAAGCATTCTCACTTCTCAAAACAAGGCTCAGTAGTGTGTGTGGCCTCCACGTGCCTGTATGACCTCCCTACAACGCCTGAGCATGCCCCTGATGAGGTGGCGGATGGTCTCCTGAGGGATCTCTTCCCAGACCTGGACTAAAGCATCTGCCAACTCCTGGACTGTCTGTGGTATAACGTGATGTTGGTGGATGGAGCGAGCCATGATGTCCCAGATGTGCTCAATTGGATTCAGGTCTGGGGGACCGGGCGGGCCAGTCCATAGCATCAATGCCTTAGTCTTGCAGGAACTGCTGACACACTCCAGCCACATGTGGTCTAGCATTGTCTTGCATTAGGAGGAACCCATGGCCAACCGCACCAGCATATGGTCTCACAAGGGGTCTGAGAATCTCATCTCGGTACCTAATAGCAGTCAGGCTACCTCTGGCGAGCACATGCAGGGTTGTACGGCCCCCCAAAGAAATGCCACCCCATACCATTACTGACCCACTGCCAAACCGGTCATGCTGCAGGATGTTGCAGGCAGCAGAACGTTCTCCACTGCATCTCCAGACTCTGTCATGTCTGTCACATGTGCTCAGTGTGAACCTGCTTTCATCTGTGAAGAGCACAGGGCGCCAGTGGTGAATTTGCCACTCTTGGTGTTCTCTGGCAAATGCCAAACGTCTGCACGGTGTTGGGCTGTAAGCATAACCCCCAACTATGGACTTCAGGCTCTCATACCACCCTCATGGAGTCTGTTTCTGACCGTTTGAGCAGACACATGCACATCTGTGGGCTGCTGGAGGTCCTTTTGCAGGGCTCTGGCAGTGCTCCTCCTGTTCCTCCTTGTACAAAGGCAGAGGTAGCGGTCCTGCTGCTGGGTTGTTGCCCTCCTACGGACTCCTCCACGTCTCCTGATGTACTAGCCTGTCTCCTGGTAGTGCCTCCATGCTCTGGACACTACGCTGACAGACACAGCAAACCTTCTTGCCACAGTTCGCATTGATGTGCAATCCTGGATGAACTGCACTACCTAAACCACTTGTGTGGGTTGTAGACTCCGTCTCATGCTACCACTAGATTGAAAGAACCGCCAACATTCAAAAGTGACCAAAACATCAGCCATGAAGCATAGGAACTGAGAAGTGGTCTGTGGTCACCACCTGCAGAACCACTCCTTTAATGGGGGTGTCTTGCTAATTGCCTATAAATTCCACCTGTTGTCTATCCCATTTGCACAACAGCATGCGAAATTGATTTTCACTTAGTGTTGCTTCCTAAGTGGACAGTTTGATTTCACAGAAGTGTGATTGACTTGGAGTTACATTGTGTTGTTTAAGTGTTCCATTTATTTTTTTGAGGAGTGTATATATATGTATATATATATATATATATACATATATATATATATATTACAATGTTAAACAAATATATATAAATCAAAGTCTATTTTAAATAAATTAGCATCTGAAGTTCATTAAGTTAGCTTCATCTATACTTCCAGACAATTCAATTAGTAGCCATGTTTCTATCCTGTCTCATAATAACACAGAGCACACACTTCAGTCTTTCGATCCTAACTCATAAATATGTATGTTGACTACAAACTGTATAGTTACTTGTCTGCTGCTGGTTTCTTTTAGAAGAGTATCTGACAATACAAAATGTGTTTCCCACTCAAAGTGGAGCTGGTACCAGGTGTTACTACAGCTCATCTGGAGCACTGATATTTGGGGAGAAAGAACAATACCTTCCTACTCCATGGGTCTCCTTTGACTTCTGGAGCTACATCTCTGAAAGAGAAGCCTATACTAAGTACTTCTGGAATACAATCCTTCCACCTCAAAGACAAATGTATAAGGGTAAGATTTAAGTAATGTTAAGAACGGTTAAATCAATAAGATATTTATATGCAAATTCTACTATTAAACAGCCATATCCCTAGATTGTTTAGAAACTGTAGAACTGTTACTTTTACATTTAAATGCTACATTTAGATGGCATATGTTATATATTGTTCAGTAAAATATTATTATATATGTTTTAAAGGTGCAACATCTTCTAGATCTGTAGGTTCCAGAAGAGGCATGCATAAGTATTACTTCAACTGAATTTAATGAATAATAAATGTCTCTTGAACTAAATTTAATATTTTTGGATAAACTTTAAAACACTTCCCCCCCCCCAAAAAAAAAAAATATTAATGTATTAAACA